GACCTTCTGGTTCATAGGTCAACACCCAATCACTGAGCTACACTGTACAGGCCTTCATGGCTTTCTTTTGGAGAAAACCAATCTGCAACAGTCATGTCAACACATGGAAGGAAAGCCAGATTACTCAGATATGCCCATGTTTGGTAGTGTTGACTCAACAAAATCCCTAGTTCTGACTAAACAAATGTTTGATTTTCACATTTGCAACCAAAGTCAGATATTGTATAAGCGCATCTAACCAGTGAGTCACCTGAGATTAGCTGTCTCCTTCTGCCTCCTCCCTGTTCAACCTCTAAATTTTAGCACCTGATACCCAGGTAAATTATGGTGCCTACCAGGTGGAACATTCAGACCTGATCAGGTATAATTTACCGGCTCCTGTTTCATGTTTAAGTTGTGTCCTTAACCTTAGTCAGGCTTTGGCAGATGCTAGGATTTTGTAGGGAAGACCAGGTGGGAGAATGTGGCTAGATCAGTGAACCCTTCAGCAGTTGAAAATACACACACACACACACACACACACACACACACACACACACACACCCCTCTAGAGTACAATGTTTGTTCTCACAGAACCACTTCAGGCATGATCAGCAAAAGGTCCACCAAATCCCCCTGCTTGTGTTAAGAGCGTGTTTCAAAGCCACTTCATAAAACAGAGCTGGCCTTTTAGGGGACGGGGGAGGGAGAGCTGCTGACCAAACTCCATTGGCTGGATTCCGATTCCTTAAGATGCCAAACGGAACAGCTTCTTAAATAAATGAACACATCTTAAACTCAACAGAATATTTCAATTTTTTGGTCAATTTCCCCCTCATTCCCCTCCCTTCCATCTTTTCTCCCTTACTACCTCCTCTCCTCCAAACAACATTTTTTAGATGACTTTTTAAATGTAATGTTTCAGCCCTAGCTGGTTTGGCTAAATATATAGTGTGCAGACTGAAGGGTCCTGGGTTCAGTTCCGGCCAAGGGCACATGCCCAGGTTGTGGGCTTACTCCCCAGTAGGAGGTGTGCAGGAGACAGCAGACCAATGATTCTTTTTCATCACTGATGTTGATGTTTCTCTCTCTCTCTCTTCCTCTCTGAAATCAATGAGGAGATTATATATATATATATATATATATATATATATATATATATATATATATATAAATGTGATGTTCATCTTACAGAAATATTTAAAATTCAGGGGAAAAAGGAACTAAGAATCATCTATATCGCACCACTGAGATATTCCCTATTAATTTTTGGTATATATTGTTCCAACTTTTTCTATGCAGCAATATTTTAACATATTTGAAATTCTAATTAATATCCAACAAGGCATTCTTTCCATATTTTCTTTGTACAAATGTAAATTTCTGCTGCTATTTAGTTTCCCCCCCCCCTCTTCCATATTATAGATAAAACTGCAATAAACATTTTATCATTACATATTTGATGCTGTATTTCAGGAGACAAGGCATGGATAGTGTGTGTGTTGAGAGATTTTCACCAAGGCAATACTAATCTAGATACTTGACCCCACTTTCATCTTCCTGGATATGGAGGAAACTTTTAAGGTGCATTATAATTTGAGATGATCAGATCAGAGATGATACCAAGTTTGTTTAAAGAGGTAGAATCAGATGTTAACATGAATGATACCTGAAAAAAAATTGTCGGTTTCTGGGTAGAAAGAACATCCAGAAATGTAAAAATGAGTCATAATGGCTAGACTTCTACTCTTTCTACACTGCACAAGCCGAGAGCCCATCATGTCCTGCAGAGCCAATGTCCTGGTGAGCCAAAGCTCATTTCTCCGCCAGTCTTCCCTTGCACAACCTGATGGTCTGTTTTACCAAAGAACAAATAGAAGCACAGTAGTTTGGCTACGAAGTTAAAAATAACAGTAGTGTTTCTCACTGTTTTAGAGGTCTTTGCAGGTGTTGAAATTAAGACACTGTTAAAGATAGATTAGAATACAATAAAGATGTGCCATTTTGACACTAGCCATGGATGATTCCTCTCTTTAGCTGATCAACCAAAAGTCAAGTACCTCAGTCCGGGACTGTGCACAAAGACACTTCTGTTTTCTGCGTTAGTTACCTGATTAGGTCCGTGACTCCCTACAGCATTTGGCAACCTTTTCATTGAACTTTTGGAAAGGAATCAGGAAAAGAAAACTGTGGTATCTTTGGAAGAATGGGTTGGTCAAAACAAGAAAATATTGATAAAAAGCTCCCGTTGGCCGTAAGTTTCCAAGATATACTGACTGTGGAAGTTGACACAGGGGTGTGGAAGGGTGTGGGGTCTGGGAGGCCAGAACAGGGCTGACTAGGCAATGTTCCTTTTTAATTTTGTATTCTTGAGACTGGAACCTGGTAGAATCGTCTGCTTTTCCAGGGTGGAGTCTTATTTCTAAATTATCTTTTACTTGGGGGACATCTATAACAACAGGAATGATTATGGCTTCTGGGAAAACTATAAGAACAGCACAGACCCTAACTCCATATTTGGACTATAATATGGACTCTTTGGATTCAGGCACTTACGAAGGAGTTTTAAAATTATCTTACCCAGTGGTGGTTCTAACCTGGGGGACAGATTACACATAAGGCAGCATCACATGCATTCTCCTTCTCTTGTTGAGAACTACTGAGAGAATAATTGAATCCTTTTTATTTTTATTTTCCTCCAGGTAGGAAAAGCAAAGGCCCAAGAAAACAAATCTAATGCCCATGGTCACCTTATCATTAGTGTCTTGTTCTAGCCCTTGTGAATAGGGCTAGAACAAGAAAGAAATCTTCTCCCAGGATAGCATTCTTTCCCCCTTATACCTAGCATCCACATAGGCACTGCAGCATGGAGGCAGACTCCATACCATTGGTTCTCCTGAGAGCTCTCTATTCTAGTCACTGACATAGGTCCCAACTGAGTGTCTCAACTTTGAGACTCTCTCTGCCCAGGAGTCAGCCATGATGAAATTGGATTTGTGTGTGAGATTACAGATGGGCCTTATCTGATGAACTTCAGAGGATGGGGAGAGGCTGAGAGAGACCATCAGTCCCCATACAACAACAGTGCTACCTACAAGAACTGATGTCCTTGTGTGAGGGATGGGAAAGTATATGTCTTCTGACTTTGCCTGTACTTTAACCTCAGAAAATCTGGTATTTCTAGAGAAAGGAGAGTGAAGCACTGGAGAGGGTTGTTGTTCCCCCCGCCCCAGACAATTTCACTCAAATCCCTCCATATAGACAGAAGGCTTGTTGTAAAGAGCTAGCAGTGGAGAATCTTATTTGTACTAGTTACTCTTCATTTTTCATTCTTCAGCTGATCTAACAGGATAGAAATTAAATGACTCAAAGATAGTTGTTCTCTTCAGAACTGGGTACTCCTATTGCTCTGACTACTAATATCATTTAGAAATGTTTTCAGTTTAAAAAGTTCATTGAGCTGCACACTAATGCTTTGTGAAATGTTTGTATATAAGTTATATTTCAATAACACTTTTCAAGAAGCAGGAAAAACCAATAAGCAGGAAAAACACAAAACTGTTTCATGTTTTGTTGGGAAAAATAAAGACTTTGGGAAGTGTACCTGCTTTGTAAAATGTTAATCAAGTAATTGAAAAGAACTAAAGTCAAGAACAGGATAGGAAAAGAACGTAACAGCCTCAAAAAAGATTGAGCTCCTATCAGAGACTAAAGTGCCCTCCCAGAACTCTATGCAAGTTAGAAATGTAGAAGCAGGTATAATGGAGACAGAGGTGCAAAAGCCCCTCTAGTCAAAAATGCACTTTCCAGAGCTATGCGGTGGCCGCAACAACCACAGTGAGCAGTGGATTCACAATCTCAATTTATTATCAAAATATTTCCATCAGGTAACAAATCTGAAAGGATAAGGAGATGTGGAGCTACATAGATGCGGGTTTGCCCTTTCATTCCAGCCACCGAAGGGACAGGTTGAATTTGGAAAAATCCTGCGTGTAAACCACAAGTTTTGTATATCGTTAGACAACTGTCCAATGGCAATGTTTAAGCCAAAGTGTGTACTTAAAGCTTTTCATCAATATGATTCATAAGTTTAAAAAGTCTCAAATGTTCATCTGTACATCGCTTTACAGATCTTGGTTCATAACTATTTATCTTGGTCTGAAACTTCAACAGTCATTGATTACATATAATAACAATTACTTAGTCATAAATGTAGTCAACAATTAAATATAAAAATTATTTATACATTGTTACAAATTTCTTAAAAAGACCAAGTCTTGAGAGAGAGAGAGAGAGAGAGAGAGAGAAAGAGAGAGAGAGTGAGAGAGAGAGAGAAATAGAGAGAGAGCGCAAGAAATTGCTTAGAAAATTTCAAGAAACCTCAAGAATATCGTTACCAGTCAAAACAGGTACAACAAAACACAGTTTTAGACATTTCATTTTAGCCCTAAGTACTTAAAATAAAATGATCTCAGAAAGCATAACTGATGACTAGAAAGTTAGTGTGAAACTACGTAAGTCCCAAGGCCCCAATATGCATAAGAATTCTTTGGAAGAGATTTGAAGGAGCATAAATGTTGCAAATATAAATACAAATAAGTACTTTGACAATGTGTTTTTCACTCCCAGGTCACTGATGTGTGTTAGGTGCCAATTGTATTCTTCAACTTTTTCTCTTCTTCCTTGGATTAGAAATCTTCTTTAATAATGGTTAACACTCTTCAAGAGACAACATCACACTGGCAGATCACATGAGAAACAGAAGTGAATGGTAATACTATTTTTAGAGATTAAGCATTATTTACACAGTGAGAAGTGATTGATTTCATAGACAACAGATTCCCCCGTCCCTCCACCCTTTTCCAGAATAAACTAACTTCATTTTTATTAGGATGTTCTCATCTCTGTTAGGTATCCATGTGTAATAGTGGTGAGCTCTATAGCCCAGTCTCTTGGATAGAGTTGCCCATTTCTGTGCTGTTGACGAGTCTAGCCGAGGGCTACACTGCTTCTTTTGAAGATCACCACACTCGGCATTTCTTTTCTGGATTCATGTATGAATTCTTGAGGCAATGGAAGGCTTCTGCAAACTCAGGGGAGTTCTGCAAAGTCCCAATGATCCTGTGAAACAAATGGAAGTCACCATCAGCATTTGACACTCATGTCCATACCACACGGGAGGGCTATAGCATTTTTCTATTAGGTCAAGTGAGTGAATTTAGAATTTAGTTAAAAAAGAAACTGGTAGAATGAGTCCGTTCTTCTCACTAACAGAATTTTTAAATGGAGAGGTATCAAGGTATAGGAATTAAGGAAACAGATGTTGAAGACAGATGGTATGGTTTGAATCCTGGTTATAAGTTATTTATTTAGCCTCCCTGCGCCTCAGTTTCCTTTTCTGTAAAATGCATATAATAATAGTACTTGGATCTTAAGGTTCTCATGGGGAATTAATTTATAAACATTCTATACACATTTGTAACATAAATGCCTAATTCATATTTGAAATTGTAGTTAATATAAGGAGAGTTTGATCAAAGAATAAAATAATGACTTTTCATGATAGTACCTTGAAAGGGCTCACATGGTAACAAATACAATAGACTTTAAATAGATATTAGTTGATTTGATTTCATAAGGAAGGCAACACTTATCTATTATTCCAAAAGAACTCCATAAATATCAGAAACTGGATCCAGCCTGAATAACTGGAAAGGGTTGGCCAAACGCCAAACTCTTCTTATCTTTGATCCTGATAGGAAAAACAACACAGTCTACCCTTATCATCAGCACCAAGAAGCGACTGAGGGGAGAGACAGGTCAGTACAATGATGCAGGGGTGATGTTTTCCCATCAACTCAGAAACCGCTCCTTCCCTTCTCTGCCCACGGAGATCATGGCCACACCCACCTTGGGTTGGAAGGAGAGCAGATTGGAGTCATGGGAAGACTAGCAGCAAATGACCTGAGAGAACCTTTTAATCTACTGAGATCTCCACACACAGATGTATTAACGTATAACGATGAGCACGTCTGCCCCCTCTAACGCATACTCCACTCAGCACACAGAGTGATCTTTAAAATACAGATCAAATTTCAGAATTCCCTTACTTAGAACCTTCCAGGGGTTGAAGGAAATTCAACCTCCTCACAATGGTCTCCAACAACCTGATGGCTCCAGCCTACCATCCCTGCCTCCTCGTGGTACATTTCCCTTCCTGTTCTTCATGGAGCCGGCACTGACCTACTGTCCATTCCTTACAATGGCCAAGCTCCTTCCCTCTCCAGGACTTGCTGCTCCTGCAGAGCCCACTTCCTGAAAAGTACCTCTCCTGGAGAAGGCAAATTCCTTCTCGGCCTTCCTGCCTCTCTGCTAACCACACCTCCTCCGAGGCTTTCTTCAAATACTGTCCCTTCTGGATCCCCCTCCCTGTGCTAGCCCTATCACAGAGCTTATCACAATTTACAGTTATTTGTTCTTTACTGCCTGACATACCCACTACACTGTAATCTCTGTGAGGGCAAAAGATCATGTCAACCTTGCTCCTGTTGCACCCCAAAGCCTGGCACACTGCATGAATATGGCAGGACTCAATACGCACTGGATGAATGAGTTTGTCACCTGATCATGGCAGTTACATGTGGGAGTAATAGGGCATTATGAAGAAAAACACTGCTTAGTATTTTTGTTGTCTGGTCGCTATTATAGACCAACTGGGATGGAAAGAAAGCATTTCCCTGTCACCATTCTAGGGAAGAAAGACCCACATCGCATTTCTCAAAGTCTGACTTCCTAATGTGTCACTCATGACCCCATCAATTATCTCTCAATCCCCCAACACTAGCCTTCGGGGAGGATGTAAACTTCAGGGAGGAATCCTTCTGGTATGGGGTCCAGAGAGGATGGAAGCTAGAGCTGGGGAACTGACATCTATTAGTCCACTTGAGAAAGAGAAGGTTGGCCCACTGCCGCGAGCCTGAGGAGGGGCCAGTAATGGTGAGGTGGGGTGAATGACAGGGTATGACTCCACTCTGAGCAGGGCCCTGATAGGATTGTGTATGGCTGTTGGGTGACTTGAACATCTATAGTGGTGGCTCTTGTGACCCTTGCCCATGACCATTGGAAAGCGACAGAGTCCCCTGATTTCAGATGGAGCCCCTTGACTGTAAGAGTGTCAGCTGTGAGCACAGCAGGGTGGAGGTTTTTCCCTACTTTTTCGGCTCACGTGATGCCTTTGGATTCCTGTATAGTCCCAAAAAAGAGTACAATGAAAACTACTGAAATGAAATGCCTCACCTCCTGGTGTACAGTGGGAGCTCAGAGCTTGAATTAGTTTGATATAAAAGTAACAATAGCCGAAACCGGTTTGGCTCAGTGGTAGAGCGTCAGTCTGTGGACTGAAAGGTCTCAGGTTCGATTCCGGTCAAGGGCATGTACATTGGTTGCGGGCACATCCCCGGTGGGGGGTGTGCAAGAGGCAGCTGGTCGATGTTTCTCTCTCATCAACATTTCTAGCTCTCTATCTCTCTCCCTTCCTCCTCTCTGTAAAACATCAACAAAATATATTTAAAAAAATAAAAAATAAAATAAAATAAAAGTAACAATAGTAAAAGTGTGTCATTCCTTACACCTGAAAGTTCAGAGCAAATTCACTTGATACATGGTCAAAAATGATTGGATATGAAGGAATGAAAAGATTTAGACATCAGGGATTTATACAGCTCCTTGGTCTACATTCTAGGCTCATGGAGAGAGCTTTTATTTCTTTACTGCAGGGGTGGGGAACTTTTTTTATGCCAAGGGTCATTTGGATATTGGTAGTATCATTTGCGGGCCATATAAAATTATCAACTTAAAAATTAGCCTGCTCTATTTGGTCAAATATTTAATTAACTCATCCCTGATGCCTTGGCAGGGCCAGACCAAACGATTTTGTGAGCTGTATTCGTCTCGAGGTCCAGATATTTCCAAACCTGGATTTTAATCCCATCCCCTTCCCACTTTAGGAAGCCCTATCCCTGGCTGAGGAACAGTCATCACAGTTGCTGACTGCTCCACAAGCTTCTGGTGAACTGATAGAGGCATCTGAGAGCCACGGACTGGAAGAGCAGCTCTTTTTTTTTTAATCTTTATCAAATATTTTTTCCAGCCCCGGCTGCTTTGGCTAAGTGGTTAAAGTGTTAGTCCATGGACTGAAGGGTCATAGATTCTCCAGTCAAGAGCAAGTACTTTGGTTGTAGGTTCAATCCCCAGCCTTGGTCGGGGTTCAATCAGGAGGCAACCAAGCAATATGTCTCTCTCACATCTATATTTCTCTCTCTCTCTCTCTTCTCCCCTCCCTTCCACTCTCTCTAAAAAAAATCAATGGGAAAAAAATATTCATTCTTCGGGTGAGGTTCAATATAAAATAAAATTAAAAATAGGTATTATTTTCAAAGGATTATGTCTTAGATATAATCATATGGGACAACTACTTGAGACCAAATCTAGGACATCTTCTACATTTCCCTTAAAAGCATTAAGGGAATTAAAAAGGAAAGAACCACACTGCAAAACAGGAAGGTGTTCACAGCACATCACTAGCAACAACAGTCAACCCACTGCACGCTCAGCTCTCAGCCTCCATTCCATCTCCTCTTTCCAGCCAAAGGCTGCACTTACATAATTTGATTCTGGATAATTAGGTCAACAACATACCTCAGTTTCATTTACTTTCCTGCGATTCTAGTTACTGCTACTGCTTGGTTGTTTATAACATCAAATCTTTGAGTGGTTGACATAAGTACTTTATTTCAAAAAGTGGATACATTATTAATAAAAAATGAATCCCATCTCTGAGCATGTGATCACATCAAATTAATATTACATGACTACTTACATAATTTAATGCTATAAGAAAACTATGTACTTTTTGTTTATAATAACAGAACATAATAAAGGCTTTTGTTATTTCTCAAGTGATTTACTTGAAATGTTTACTTTATTACGTAAACTATTTTATTATTCTGCTGCTGTTTATTCTCTTGGCAAATAATCACATATTAAAAACATCTACAGATGGAAGGATGGGGAGAGGGGGAATTGGAAGATGGTGGTCAAAAGCTATAAGCAATTATAGATGTTAGCTGATCTTATTGTAATCATTTCATAGCATATGTAAAGCAAGCAATCATGCTGTATGCCTAATAAAACTGGAAAGCATAAAAACAAAAATAACATCTAAGATATATGGAGTTGAATATCACTTGACCAAGAATGGACTTTGTATCTTATAACTTATCTGACTACTCGTGTCTATAATTAACTGAATTTTTAAATTAGTGAATGAGCTTTTTGCAATTAATGGGTTCACTGAGAATTTTTTTATTACTTCTTTTAAATGAATGACTTGGCTACAAGATTAACTAGCTTCATTCAAGAATAAACTATCCAATCTTTGCCATTAACTAATGTTCATAATTCTTTTAAAGTAGGGTCACATTGATCAGCATGTGTTCCACTATAAATTGATAAAGAAATAAAGAGATTCTGAGGTAAGGGCTGAAGATTTAATCATTACTAATTCAATAAGGCTCAATGAAATCCACAACATTTACAAAATATCAGAAACCAATGCTATTATTTAAGATAGAGAAAACGTGAGAATTTCAAAGAGAGTTTAGTTTAAGAATGCTAAGTCATAGAATCATAAGGAACAAAATAGCCATGGTACTTGAAAATCCTATATAATAAAAACCTAATATGCTAAGTGTCTGGTCATGTGGTTTTTCATTCAACAAATCAAAGTGTAATATGCTAAAGATATGCTAAGATGACTCAACTGCTTGCTATGACATGCACTGACCACCAGGGGGGCAGATAGTGAACTGGTCTACCAGTCACTATGACATGCACTGACCACCAGGGAGCAGATGCTCTAACCAGTAAGTTAGCTTGCTGCTGGAGTCTGGCCAATTGGGACTGAGTGAGACCAACTGGACACACCCTGGAGCCCTCCTGCAGTTCTTCCCCAGCTGACCAATCTCCCATGTCCCTCCCCAGTCCCCCTCATACACTGGTGGGGTTCCTTGGTCTGGTCTGTGCCCTCTCACAATCTGGGACCCCTTAGAGGATGTTGGAGAGCCAGTTTCAGCCAGGCCAGCCGAGGGATCCCACTGGTGCACCAATATGTGCACCGGACTTCTAGTGGCTGCATAAAACACTAGAAAGTATATTCTTTCAAAAGAATTAATAAAAAAAAATTGTGGAAAATATTTCTTGCTTTATTAGTTGGTTTTGTTCTCTGAAGTTTTTGTGTTTTTTTGGTTTTGTTTTGTTTTGTTTTCTGATTAGAAAAATAATACCAAGCAATCTAACTATCTAAATTAGTACCGTTACTATTTAGGTAGAATACAATACACACAGGCATCATTTGGTCTATTTTGACTTGCTTTGAAAATATTACCATATCTTCTATATTGTGTAGGAATATTCCATCTGAATAACTTTATAAACCCATTTACAGCTTATGTAGTAAATATTATCATAACAACCATTCCCTGAAGTGACTGAAAGAAGTAATTAAATTGCAAATTCTAGAATATCAAGGGGAAATGTTTTTGTTTTAAATACAAATAGTTTAGAAGCTCATTTAAAAGTACATAAGACTTTAGTTAGAAAGAATAGAATACGTTTAGCTTAGATCTAACAAATGATTTTACAGATTCAGCTCTATATCAAGTATAATTCACCATTTGTTTTTTATGTAAACATAAAGAATACAAAACTTCCTATATTTCAAACATTTCCACATAAACCACTGTACACAATCTTTCAATAGCAACTCCATGTCTCTTAGTTTTCAAGGTTCTTTAAAACTATGTTTTACTTTGTACAGCCAGGAAGCAGCCGATTTCCAAAACTAAATGTAACCTCAACCTTTTGCCAAGGAAATCCCTTTACCTCCAGAGAAAATAACTTCCTTGACAAAAGGTTGGCATTCCTTTTACCCTTTAAAAAACAACAACAATTACTTCTCTTATTATGAATGAAAAATAGTCACAGAGATATCTTTTGGGTCAAAAAAAAAAGAAAAGTCGCAAATAATTTTACATTGTACTAAATACATATTTTTACAAATACAAAACTCAACAGCTAATTATATTAAAACTATTTTCAGTTTATAATTGGTGGAAGAAAAGTTACACATTTACCTACATGTCACTTAATCAGCAATCAGTGATTAACAATGTTGAGCTATCCAGACATAAGAAATGAACAACAGAAAGTACTTGACTGTCAGGAAATGTGGGATGTTGCAAAGTCTATATGCTTTATTCACAGGAATTCTTATTCTGCTCATACCTTTCTTATTTATAACCAATCCTAGTACCAGTTTTCAAACACAAATATGAAGTAGGCACTTTAGAAACATTAACATTAATCCTCCTAGTAGCTCTCATAATTTAATCTCCATTTTATAAATCAAGAAATTGAGACCCAGAGGTTAAGTAACAGTTTGTAAATGGCAGAAACTTGGTTGGAATTTAATTGTTTCTTACTTCAAAGCTTACATTCACTTTTTAGCATACCTCCATTCACTTTTTAGCATACCTCCATTCTGATTAGCTCCAAAAACATCTTTTAGCTAAATGATGTTTTTGGAGCTAATCAGAATGGAGGTATGGGACAGCCAAAAGCAGGCAATGGAGTAACAGGAAAGAGAATTAGGGAAGAAACAAACAGAAAAACACTAGTAAAGAAAGAGCCAAAATGAAAAGTCGAAAAGCATCACCATTAGTGGCTTTAGTGTAGGAATAAATAGCTCTCCACATGCTAGCTTTGGAGGACTTCACTAAACTAATAAACAGTGAAACCATAACTATTAGTCATAACAATAGTCTGTGTCATCAAGAAAAAACACAGTTTTGTTCAGGATATTGTGTTAATAAGGCAGGAAGGTGAAAATATATTTTAAACAGAGAAGTTTTTAACCCAGTGGTTAAGATAAAAATGTTAATACTTAAAACACAAGACTGAGCTATCAAATTATTAATTTGCAGTCCCCTTTCTCCTAGGACTCCAGATGTACCAGGTATTACAATAATGTTACTTAAATTTACTTAGGATTTATGGATATACTAGAGGCCCAGTCCCTCAGCTTGGCCGAAACTGGCTCTCTGACATCCCCTGAGGGATTCTTAATTGCAAGAGGGCACAGGCCTGGCTGAGGGACCCCACTAGTGCACTAGGGAGAGACAGGGAGAAGGCTCCAGGGTGTGACTGATCCACTTCACTCAGTCATGATTGGCCAGATACCAGCTGCAAGCTAACCTACAGGTTGGAGCATCTGCCCCTGGTGGTCAGTGCACATCATAGGCTTTTATATATATAGATGCTTTAGGGCATGGGGATATGTGTACAGAACTTTGAAATTTGATTGTTATGGTGGTTAATAGTTTGTGTGAGCTTATAACTGCTCTCTGTTATCCTCAGAGAGCAATTATAAGATTCTGACATCTTAACTTCCAAAGACTTCAGAAGAAAAGGACTACTTTTAAAAATTGAAAATAAAAATTACTTGGCTAGAACATGTCAATAGATCCAGTGACTTTTGCTGTGGGTTACCTAAAAAGCAGTTAATTTGGGTATTTTAGCAAGACTAAATTTAGCTTGGATTATACCCAAAATGAACATACAATAAACAGTTGCTGAGTGATTGAATTTTGAAAGAAATGTTAAGGCAAAAATAAATGCTGCTGCTGCTATTGCTGCTAATGATCATACTAGAATAACACAAGTTTTTAAATATGGTATTTTATTGTGTCATATTTGAATCTGGTCTTTCCCTAGGAGTGAATGATATGGGCACTATGTTCGTGTTTATTTAGGAAAAGCTTTTAAAATTCAGCCCATTAGTTCTCTTTTGTTTTCAGACTGTTTTCCAATCAACCTACACAATTTTAAATTTATTTTTCAGATAGTCTTGTTTGAGAAAAGTTGTTACTGATCAGAAGGGTTGAAGTCCCGGGGGAAGGAGTAGCATTAGGAATTTAGTCCTAAAACAGCTAGATAGGGAACTAGGTTTTAACATTCAAATGCTGATTAGAGTGATTTTTTTTCAATCCAATGTTCTCATAGATTTTCTGATTTGAGAAGGGCTTGAGATATCTTCTAACTCATTCTTCTACAATGCAGAGCATTTTAATCCATCATCCTTGACAGGTTGTTCTCAAACCTCTGTTTCAGATACAGTCCTGGAGCTTTGGAGATAACTTTATTCCATGATATACAAGCTCTAATTACTGGAAAGTTTCCCTTTATGCTGAATGGAAATCTTTCTTTGGCATAGCTACTCCTGGGTCCTAGGCCTAAACCTTTCTTAGCCTTTTAGAAATGCCTTGTGCTACCTTCAAATAGAGCCGCTGTTCTGATGTGTCATCTTTATTGGAATCCATCAAGCACTGAACCTAGGTGCGTGATGATAAGAGCAGTGAAGGCTATGCTTGTGTAAACATGACATTTACCTGATCTTCTCTGTTGATCCTATCTGTAACCCTCAAAAGAGAAGAAGACAACAACACTGGATTTCCAAATTTTATAGATTCAGAGTTAGAAAAGGCCAATGTCCAAACTCACAACTAATGGAGCCAATATGAGAGTACCTTTCAAACCCATGTACCTGAAATTGCCCGGACTGTGGACATCCGTTTTAATGGAGTTGACTGCATACTCTGGCCTGTACGTCCCACACCACACCTAGGATAGGAATAGAAAAAGGAAATTTTGTGCTTAGGTTTAATCAAGGATGCTACTTACTTGTTTGGGCAGGGTGAGAAAAAAGCAAACTTCCTACTGCAAAAATTAAATTGGAATTCTGCATTCCTCAGCCATTTTATCTTTAAATACTGTTCCATGATAGGCAACCAGGAGCATAATTATCATTAATATAATCTGACAGTTTGTTATACACAACAAAATTTAGTCAAGTCAAAGGATCTGCCACAATTGATTAAATCAAGAAAACTCAGCATGCTTTATCTAACTTACTATAAAATTATAATTCAAAACAATTTTCATATATATCAATCAAAAAAGGTAGCATACCTGAGCAAAGTTCAAAAAGAAGAGTTGTTTGTGATTTAGGTGAAGTCCAGGAAGTAATTTTTCTTCACCATTCTTTTTAACATACTTTTGATAAGCCTGGGCAGTTAGTGAAACAGAAATATGATGTTTATCATTTATAAATTTATATGTAAGTTTATGCAAAAGACCATGTAACAAGTTCTTAACTTTTTGTATCAGAATCATCATAATATACTTAGATATGGCAACCTACAAGTATTTCATGGATTAGAAAAAAAACTAGAATTCATTTACAAATGCTTTGATAGTACAAGGTAATGATTAACAAATGAGAAGAATCCAGCACAAGTCAAATGATCAACAAATGTCAGTTATCAATGGATGACTTAAATAAGCAATGAAAAGCTTATGTAAATGTTGTTCTACTGGTAGATGAATAAGTCCTGCTTATTGGAAGAATGGACTGCCAAGAAAGTCTGTAATTGCTATATTTAGTTTAGTTACTACACTTAGCAAAATATACTCATAGCAGACTTTGTTTGGGTGATTCTTGCCAAAAGTCAAGGGATTCTCTTAAGATCCATTAGAGGCCTAATATCCCATGATTCTAAAAATAAGAATGAGCAATTATTTTGGCTCCTTGAAGACAGGACAAAACAAAGTGAACTTTAGTTATATTGGGGAAAAAGGAATTTAGGTTATTTGAATGTCAAAAAGTGATCTCAAGTCAAGAGAACTTATGGACTCTACTGAAAATGTAATGTTTTTCTATTTAAATATACTTTAAGAAAGGAATTGACAACTAAATTTTTCCTTTTATTACAAAGGAAAGTGACCAATTAAATTAGCAGAAGATATATTTCATTTATTTCTACTTGCCATTATCATAGATTTATTGAATCTCTACTAAGTAAAAATGCTGGGTAAATGGGGGTTACTTGAGACTGCTCTTAGGGAGTTCACAATCTATAATAGTAGGGGACAGAGCATTAGATATATAATTCTGTGCATAATAAATTATTCACACAATTTTTTTTTCTGCATTATAATTCTGTACTTATTCTAATGAGCATCTCCATGGAAGTACCATCAACCCAGAATTTGACTGGATTTTTAAATCAGTGATTCTTAATCTAGCAGAATATAAGAATAACTATAGGAGTATTAAGAGTACCAATGCCTTCCTCTCCCAGGCAAAATGGAGCAACAAGGACTGGGTAAACAACACTCCCACTGAAACAACCAAATGATGGACAAAACATATGAAACAATGGCTTGCATTACACTGGACACTAGGAAAAGGGGGAGCAATCTCTCTGAGATGGTGAACAAATAGATGAGCCCTATGATTGTCCCAGCTGATTACCTTCAGTGTTTCCAGGCTACAACACAGAGAAAGGAAAACCCAGAGTCCAAGGGACTCCTAGAGTTGAGGACAAAAAGTTCAGGGATACCAAGGACAAGGCACTGAAGAAGAGAAAACTGCATGGATAGAGCACCTCAAGCGATGAGATAGCCCTTTCAAATGAGATGGCCTTCTCGAATATTCACCTGAGTATGTGAGAAAACTACCCAGTCCTAGTGAAGAAACCATGGCCAAGGATTAGAGATAAAAACGTCTGGTATGCACACCTAACAAAAATGGAAGACCTCAAGATTCACACAGTAGGGTCTTCCCTCAGCAGTGGAGAATAATCGTCTTTAGACTGAGCACTTTCTTAGTCCCCCTTAAGACTTAAGTAGATCCAACAGGACCACCAGACCATTTCTGAGGAATTTAACTGTGTCTTAGAATAAAGCTAAAAAATATATATATACAGGAAAGCAAAAATAATCAGCTCCAAGAATGTAAAATGCCCAATGCCTGGCATCCAATAAAAGAAAAACTACCAAGCATTCAAAGCAGCAGCCATTTTCCACCTCTCAGGACTTGACAGAGATTTGTACTTTAGGAAGCTTTGCTGTCAGAGTAATCTCCCAAATCTCACACTCTGATAATCCGTTCACGTTCATTGCCAAATCACAGGCCCCACTGTCCTCTCTCCCACATAGATCTGGTGCTTCCTCCTCTTTCCTGATCCAACTCCTGAGCCTCTCCTCCGCTTCTTTATCCCACAGTTCATTTGTCAACAAACTGGCCATAATAGTTTGGATGACTAAAAGGCCACATGCTGAAACTGTATCACTTAGTCCTTCACTCTATCATTGTAAATGAACTGTGGCTTATGCCGATTATGGTTCCTCAACATTTCTTCACCTGCTATGAAACTGAAAGTCCTGTTTGATGCACTGATCAATGATTCTGAAATAATTCTTTTTATGGGGCCTCTTTTGTCATAAATGTATTTCAGAGATTATTTCTTAGAGAAAGGTTGCCTCCTCTGCAAATTTGCCTATCTCCTTATTTCTGTTGACATAATGCTTCATGTTTCTTCTCAGCTTTGTGTGTTCAGCTCAATCGCAACTAACTGCATTGCTCCTGCTGATTAGCATATTTACCACCTCCTTTCTCCTTATATTTTTCATTTTAATCTTTTGTTGCTTACATTATGTGTCTTTTGCAAAAGGCTTTCAATGAATGAATGAATGAATATGATAAATATACACTCCAACCACTAAAATGGGAAAAATATTATTACTCACTCTGTATGCTTGGCCAATACCTCCATTATCAGCAATGTTTTCTCCCAGAGTATTAATTCCATTGATCTATTTAAAAAAAAAAAAAGACTCTTAACTATATTCTGATTATTAAAAAGCACCAGTAATTCACTTAAGATTGGATATATCTGAAACTTTTCAAGAGAATGCTGATGACATACATGCTGTCCACCTGCTAGGTCCCAGGAGAAGTTTCCGTACTGGTACACCATGCATTCGGATTGGTCTTTGAAATTACTTGCAGACTGTTGTGTCCACCAGTCAACAAGATCTCCATCCTTGTTAAAATTTCTGCCTAGAATATATTGATTCAAGTACAATGAGAACTCATTACATAAAAAATTACAATAAGATATTTTTTTAATTCAAAGTGCCAGAAATGAAATACCACAGTGAGAGAGGGCATTCAATTGAACACATAATGAGAGGAACTGTTATTCTTTGTCAAGCAGAGTTGGTGACATCTTGACTGCCAGGATTTTGTTTGCTGATGAGCCTTACTATTAATTCAGACAGTTCACCGACCTGGCTCTTAAGATCTCAGCTGAGGCCACCAGATAAGCACTCCTTAAATAATGCTTTCTGTGAGATGGTTTCTACAGAAACTGTGTTTCATTTGGTATTTTGAGATTTTTGAAAGGTCAATATTTTCTTTCTGGCCTTCATTTCATACCTCAAACTCTCATGACATATGGTGGCTCAGTTTCCCTCTACTTTGAGCACAAAGAAAAAGCCACCTTTTTTCCTGAAGCTTTCCTGCTAATCCTAAATACATCAATCTTTTCCCTTTTTGAGATATATTTATCAATGTCATTTAATTTGACACTGTGTTTTGTCATCTTTTTAATAGTTATCCATGACGTACTGAGTAAGAAAAGGGCTATGAAGACAAACTACCTGAACTCACATCCTCGTTCCACCAATTTCTAGCTTTGTGACTTTAAATGAGCCTTTTATGCGTCTCTATTTTCCCCCCATTAATAAATGGAAATAGTATTAGTTTCTACCTGTAAAGACTACTGTATAGTTCATTGAGTTAACAACACGTAGTAAGTCCTTTTCAAAGTTGTGCCCTTCACATCTCCTTTTCTTTCCCTGCATCTCTGAAGGTCTAGTTAAAGTATAATTATTTTCTCTTTATTGTTCTCTTTCTATTGTCTTTCTCCTTACAAACCAGTATTTGTCATAGCTTCAATTATCACCTCTTTACCCTCTTCTGACTTTACTACTTTTCTTCTCAGTTTCACTGACACTCTAAATCTATTTTGCCAGTCAAAACACCATTTTACATTATGTAAATATTTAAGTGCCCACTGTTTGCAAGGACTAAACTAGGTAGTAGGTTAAGATGAAAAAAAAAAAAGAAGTCACGTGCCACAAGTGGTTTAAGACTCTTATGGTTTTTGGGCGCCTTAACATTTAATTCTTTATATCTTATTTTAAGACATGGACCTTGCCCTCTAAAAGTCTGGAGAACTAAGACATAAAAACTCATAAAATAAGACTAAAAACTATCATCAGTGTTTTCTCAATGTAAATACTTGCTTTATTCCATCAGGGCTTACCTCACTACTAAAAATTTATGATCTTCTTAAGCAACAATTTAAAAGGAACATTAAAAGTGTGGTGATTATTAAGCTAGTGATACATAGATGAATGTTATTTTTGTATCGCTAAATTATAATAGCTTTTAATCAGGTTTCTAAGACTATAATCTCTGCCAAAGGAATGTCAAGTGCACTTTACCACTGTCATCGAAGCCATGGGTAATTTCATGTCCTATCACCATGCCAATACCCCCGTAGTTCAATGACTTAGACTGCTGGGCACTGAAGAAGGGGGGCTGCAGGATGCCAGCTGGGAAGACTACAAGGAAAGAAGATGGTTAAGGATTACTTGTGAAAAAAATGAAAAGGGATCCCAAGTCAAATTTATAGAAAATATCCCTTTATTAACTTTTGTCGAGAATATGTTTGTATATTTTCAGAAAACAACTCCGAGACCACATGGAGATTCCTGCAATAGAGAGGAATTGACACGAGTGCCCCAGCCATGAATACAGAAGAGAAACAGTCCAGAGAAGGAAGACGATGACACCTTGCCATACTAGCAGACAGCAGCTGTGTGTCGCTGAAAGATGTCCAGGACGGTCGAACCTGCATCACCACCATTTGTCCACCAACCAGATCTGAAATACCATAGCTGACATGTACACATAAGGAACTATTTGACATTGAAATTGTGATTCAAAAGAACTGTTAGCCCAGAAAGGAACTCACTACAAACTGACTCATTTGCCACTCAGCATAACCATTATGGCTTGTCTCAGTTTCAGTTCTTAAAAGGGAATTCTTTGTATCACATGATCTAACGTATCTAGGGGAAATAATGAACAACATAAACTGATGAACAGAAATGACCCGGAGACAGAGAAGCAGCGATCAGACTGTCAAATCTCAGAGGGAAGGTAGGGAAGAATGGGGGTAAGGGAGAGAGATCAACCAAAGGACTTGTGTGCATGCATATAAGCCTAATCAGTGGTCATGGACAACAGGGGTGGGGTGGAGGCGGGGGCAGACATGGAGAGGGATTTGGGATGGGAATGGGGGGATGCAGACAATTATGTGATACCATAATCAATAAAGAAATTAAAAAAAAAAAAGGTTTACTTGTGGCTTTATTTTGGGATGATGGGCCTAGAGTCTGCTTCTTGCTTGCTAAGCTGTTTTCTAGTATGTCCCATTTCATTTAATTACATACAAAAACCTTTTGTGACAGAAACACATGCAAGTCTTTCATTATTGATGACAGCAAAAAGTTCATCCCAGAATGACACCATTAGTCTGTGATGTAGAACTATAATCTACTTGACAGTCTCTAGTAAGATTGTTTTCTGCGAAAATGAGTTCAGAGCAAGGGGAAATTATCATCTTCAATCAGAAGGTCTTTCCCCCATTGTAAATATTTGGGGGAAATAGTTACTTAATATCACAAGTATTACTTTTAATGTTATCTCTAACATTTTACCATTTTTAATAGCTTACTAAATAAACAGAGCCACTCAATGGAAGATATCTTCAATCCATACTTGTATTTTACTTTCATCAAGAAATCTATGATTGTATACTTCCTTATTTATAATTGTTGTTCTTTTTCTTTACTCCCACCTCCTACCCCCCAACAACTCAACTATTAGCCCTTGGAGAGCAGAGATTTGTGTTTGTTTTTTAATTGAGTTTTGTTTTGTTTTTTCAGTTTACTAACTCCAGCACTTAAAGCAAGAATAGTGCCCGGAAAATTCTAGGTGCTTAGAAAGGTGTTAAACAAATTAATAATATAGTTATATAAATAAATATAAGCGTAAGTACCGTTACAACAGGTCAACCAACCGCAATGATACACAATGACCACCAGGGGGCAGACACTCAACACAGGAACCAACCTCCTGTGGCCAGCCAACCTCCTGCGGTCCCTCCCCTCAGCCAGCCCTGATGGCCCCCTGATCAGGACTGGAAGGATTGGATGAGATGGCCCTGATTGGCCCGGATCTCGCGGGCCAGGCTGAGGAATCCCACCTATGCACGAATTCATGCAGCAGGCCTCTAGAGATAAATAAATTTACTATGGTGTCCTAAAGACTTTCGTAAATAACAACTTTTACAGGTCTACTCTGACATCTACATTAACTTGTTAACTTTCTACACTTAGATGTCTTATTGTTTAAATTTCATGTGTCAAACATCAAACTTCTCATTTTCCCTTGTAAGCCATCACTCTTTTGACTTTAGTATTTTTATTAATGGTATCTGAAGGGTCTAATTCACCCAAAGTGAACATTTTTTACTTATCTCAGATGCCTCCTTTCTTTAATAGTCTTACACAGTTTACTTAGTAAAAGAATGGATTATTAAAAAAATAAAAATGGATCATGTAACCCAGCTGGGTGTGGCTCAGCAGATGATCATCAATCCAGGAACCAAGAGGTAACTGGTTCAGTTAGGGCATATGTCCAGGTTGTAAGCTTGATCCCCACCCAGTAGGAGACATGCAGGAGGCAGGCAATTGATAATTCTCTCTCATTGTTGATGTTTATTTCTCTTTATCGTTCTTCCTCTCTAAAATATATATATATAAATTCATCATCCATCTTCCTAAGTGGCTCTTCTGTTTTTCTCCTATCGGCCTTACCCACACCATCCTCGTTCACATTCTCATTCCTTGCCTAAGAATTAATTTCTTAATTGCTCTTACCACTTCCTGTCTTACCCACCTATAATCTATCCTAAATCTAATCTATCCTGCAGCAGACTGAAGTGCAACTTGACTCATTACCACTTCCTTGATAAAAAAAAACAAAAAAAAAAAAAACCTTGGACAGCTTACAGCTCTCTAAAGAAACACCAACACTTTTGCCTGATCTAGCTCCACAGCTCTCTCCTGCTTACCCGCCTCCCTCATGCAACTCCCTTTGGTTCATAATTTAGTAACTTTATTTTTCATGTTTGAAAACTCTAGTATCCACTGAATAACTGAAACATTATGTTCTGGAACAAAAAAAAAAATATATCATTAGTATAATATCTATTTGCTTGCAAAGCCCCGGGCCATTACAATGCAGGATACCAGGAGCACATAAAAAGTACTCTGACCTTACAAAATTTAATATCTAGTCAACATCGAGTAGCAAATTTTGGGGTGAATATAACATAGGTTTGCATGTGTTTCAGGGGTAAATATTAGATATTTACAGAGACTTTTAAAATACACTGGGCAATCAGTGCTCTCCAGACATCTAAAAAAAATCTGTAAAGTTGCTATAGCATCAAAATGACCAAGTAACAACAAAAATACTTTTGTCTTTGGTGAATTTTGATGAAAGTTATACCACCTCTGTGGCTGCCTGAGCTATCAACAGTACCAAGAAATAACTTTTAGCCTAAAGTATAAAAATTACGTGCAGTACTTTATTAACTTAAAGTGAACATTATCTCCCACACTATGTACTCCGATTAAAATCCACCCATTATATAAATGCTCTTACGAAACATGCTAGCAAGACTAAACGTTAGCTGTAAAGATCCTACTGCTTTAATTATACCCTAATATGCCATTCTTCAGGCGAGTGATAAGATTTTTATGGCTCATATTAAATACTAGTCTTCAAGTTCAGCTCTGCAAATGATGATTTATCCCTTTTCTCTGTCAGCTAAACCTCCATGATGAGGCTTTCTGCCATTAGCCTTATCACTCTTACTAGGAGACTTCACAACTCTTCATAATAACCAACTGCTTAGTTGTGCATATTTTATGGATGTCAACAAGCTGTTAATTAAAGAAGTCATTAGTCCATGAAACAAAAGACTAGGCTTCTCCCTGATCCTTCCCCCTCACTTTCCTGGTTTGTGTTTTTAAGTCTGCAAACAATTCAACTTTAGAATCTCTGATATAAAGTTCAAGATTGCAATTAGGTAAAATCAATTTTTGGTATGCAAATACAATTCTTTTCATATTAAATATTTGAAAATAGTTACTCTTAATTTTCAAGTCTGAAAATAAAACTCCTAAGAATGAATGAGACAACTTTAGAAAACATTCTTATTCAAAATAGTTGTAGACCACCCACACTGGATAAACTAAATATAAATAATCTACAGATTTCCTAAAGTTTAAAAAAATTTTTGATTGTTAATGAAAAAAGAGAATGCAGCAGAAGTAGTATTCCCTTCTGACATGATCATTTCCTTGGATATGATTTTAAGGTTTAATAAGACGATTGAATAGTGCCTAGAACTTACAGGGAAATATCTGACAGCAGAAAAGGTTTCCAGAGCTCCATGGAGCAAATATGCAAGGAACAAAAACCAGTGAGTGAATTAAATACTTTCAGTGTTCTTTGCTGCTAGGGAAGATGACTATTTTTTAGTTGATGTGAATTGGTGGGGTGCATAAAAATTGGAATGTAGCCTACATGTATGAGTTATGACAAAAGGTGGCAACTGAATTAAAAAGGAGAAATTACTATGAATAATGCCCTGTATGATAATAAAAGATGTTAATTTTTTTTTTTTTTACTATAACAAAACAAAACCAATCCCATGAGATATTGTATACAATTTAATTAGGGTATTTGTGTGAAGGTGGAAGGGTCATCTATGACACAAATATTATTTTATACCAGTTCTAATTCTATAATGCACCTGATACCAAGTCCATGAAGACAATGTTGCAAAAATTATATATTTGTGTATGTGTACGTGTACACACACACACACACACACACACACACACACACTTATATTAAGTAAGAGGGAGATCAGGACCTTCAATTATTTTTAGTTAAGACAATCCCCACTTTGAAGATTTTAATGAATTGTCAAAAGAGAAAACGTTTCATATCAAAGAGTTCTCTCAAATGACACTTCCCCTTTCTCTGAACTGCTATTATTAGCAGACAAGGTTATGAAAAGAAGTTAACAATTTTTTTTAAATTTGTTATTTCCTTCAGGTGAATTTTATCTCAAGAATCTTAAAAAATGTCTTTCTTATATATTAAGAATGGGTATTACAGTCAATTCTTGATTATTCAGAGGCTAATGGTCTACTTTGTGAAATGTTAGGCCACTTGTACCCTCTTTTTCTTTTAGCTGTGTGCTTGTTTGGTTTGAGAGCACTAAATACAAAATGGGAACATTCCCAAGTCTTCTCTGATAAGAGAATCTTTGATGTGGCCCAATTTTGAGCCAGTTCCAGAAAAGACTCTTTAGCAACTCAGAGCCACAAGGATCTGTCTGGGTGTGACCTATGTGGACCTGCTCTAGAGGAGAGCCGCAGACCATCGAGATCTTATGGAAGGTCTGAGAGGATCCAAGGCCCTCCCTGAGTTGGATTACAATGAAGTCATATCCCTTAGTCTGCCCTAATGCAGAACCAAAATCCAGGCCGTCTTACTTTTGCCTTGGGATTCCTTTAAAGGTTATTTATCCCACTTAAGTCCAAGACTAGAATGAACTAGATGTTATACTGACAGAATTACTGAGCATCAAAGAGAGGTCTTTATGCCCAGCCAGCATGGCACGGTGGTTGAGCATCGGCCTCTGAACCAGGAGGTCACGGTTCATTCCCATTCAGGGCACATGCCCGGGCTGTGGGTTCCATCCCCAGAATGAGGTGTGCAGGAGGCAGCAAATTAATGATTCTATCTCATCATTGATATTTCTATCTTTCTCTCTCTCTCCTTTCCTCTCTTAAATCAATAAAAATATAATTTTTTTAAAAAAGAGGTCTTCAAAGTAAAGACTCTTTAGCAATAAAAGCAATTCTAAGAAAAGATTTCAATGGTTTCTAGGACCACATCACAAAGGATAGACAGGTTCCGAGTTGATCATTAAATGGGCTCTGGTCTGAGTTAAGGTAATCATTCCACTAGCTGGGATGTGCATGAGCTTAGAAAAGACTTTGAGCTAATTGATTTTAACCTGGTGCACATGCCTTACTTATTATCTACATGTTATATAAAGACAAACTTTTCTGATTATAAATCATTTGCATGTCACATACCAAAATAAATTCCAGCTGGGTTAAAGATTAACTCAAAAAATAAAAACCGTGAAAATACAAAAGAAAATGTTGGTAACTTCTTAATTTAACTCTTTCTAGGTTTAAAAGCAACGAGGAAAGGTATAATCAAACTTTATAATAAAATAAGGTATCCAATTTCTTTGAAAGTTTTTTTTTGTTTTTTTTTTAACCAATGGTAAAAATCTTACAGGATCTTGCATTATTTCTAATCTAATCAGTAACAGAATTCAAGAAAAATGATGCTTAGGGCAGACTCTGAGATACAAAATGAGTAGTTTAGGATAATGCTGGAGTGGTCTCTCTTTTGGTTCTTGACCACACGTAGAACCTTGGATGGAGTACACCTGGAGAAGCTGGTTGTACTGTTTAGAAGACCCCTGCTACTATTGAATTAGTTGGATGTCTTTCTACACATTAGACACCCTTAGGGAAAAATGAACCCATTTATGGGATACTAATGAGAAAGCTTAGAGATGTCAAGGTCTTCCCAGGAAGAGGGGGGAAATGTATATTTGTTATATTAAGCCATTTAATTATTCAATCTGTCATTTTACTCATGTATTAATTTCTATGCACATTTTTGCCACATTACTATTAGTGTGAAATTTTTTCTCTTTAGTCAAACGTGGGTAAGTATAATTTCATATGGTTCAGCCTAATATAACTGACTTTTCAACTCTTTTTCTTTTTCTTGAGCCCCATGGAGTCGTCTAGAAAAAAAAAGGGGGGGGTGATAGGGAACAGGACCATTTCCACCAAAGCCAGAATACAGAATTGCCAGGAAAATAAAATCTCTTAAAAGGTTGTTCTTGGGCCCTTGAACCACTTAAAGATGCTGATACTTAAGAAGTCTTTAAGTCAATCTAAGTTTATACGGACATAAGGTGCTTTAAAAAATAAAAGTACTAAGAAATAAACCATTTACTAAAAAATGAGAGTATTGCTTTAAAAAACTACTTCATATGATTTGTCCTGATTTAAAACTTGCAACTATCATGAAAAGAGATACATAAATAAAGTTACTTTCAGAGTATATTCAATAAATCAGTAACTCAGCCTCAGCTATGCTTTTAAGGGTAGTATTACAAACTGGTCATGCAATTCACTACAGGTTGAAAACAATAAAGGGATGATAAAGCATTATTTAGGAATAGATCTTACCTATCTGATTTCTGCCTGAAGAATAAAATGCATTGACTACAGCAGGTCCGCTTATCCACCTATGGAAAACATGACGAGACGTTATAAATGACACTGCATTGTCTGATTCAATCTGCTCAACACAATAAAAGGATTGTTACCATTCCCAGATGAATGTTCACTTTCTGCTTGAATATGATCAACAAATTAAAATTAGCTCACTAGGAGAGAAAAGCTCATTTGAAAGGATTTCTACTTGAAAAATCAGGATACATCCAGGTCTGCAATCTGTTATTTCATTTGCATAAAATGTACTGTATGTATCTCTTCAGAAATTGCAATGGATTAAGGTTATATTGAAATGCTTTTAACTTTATGTTCCTGATACCAAGTAACTATAGCCAACAATTTTGGAGCAGTTGACAGTACATGAAGAGGTAGTGTGCCTCCGCTTACTCCTGTTTAAAATTACTTTTTAAAAAGAGACATTCCAGTTAACTGAGCAAACGTTTATTTTTGTATGATGACTGTAAAATGAAATCCAGGTGGCTCTTAAATAGATTTGTCTATCCGAGTACAATTCAGAAGACTCTAGTTTAGTTGATGGAGCGGGTGGGGTGACTGGATAAAGAAGGTGAAGGAAATAGCTAATGAATATATATGCATACCCCATAGATACGGACAGTAATTCAGTAAAGGCCTAGAAAAGGGGAGTTAAGAGAGGAGGGAAATGGGAACAAGGAGGGAGGAAGGGGAACTCCTGTACTAATGCTAACATTAAAAAAAAAAAAAATTTAAAAAGAGAGACTGAATTAGAAAATGGAAAAAATAGCTCTCAGATAGTAATTCAAAGATATTAAGCTAAAGGATATATACCAATGCTTCTTTGTCTTTCTATACGTATGTTTCAAAGACTACCTATCAATAATTATAATCAAGCATTTTTGTGCTCCTGGAGTATTATTCCCATCTTAATAGACTAATTAGTTTAATATATTAGCTATTAGGCTAATAATAGACTAGTATACATCCTTAGGCACTAATTGAAAAATGGACACTGATTAACTTCAGATTAATCTCTTAAATGTCAGCACACATGCAAACACTTAAAACAATTTCATTGCAGTTATTCCACTTTCCGGACAACAATTAGTATAGCAATTATTATCCTACTCATGCATGGAGCTTACAGTAATTAGTACAATGAGGTTAAATCAGAACTGTTTCCAGGCTTTGTGAGGTGAGCAGTACAAAGTCAGCTGCCCAAATTTAGCTACAATTTCTGTAACGATGGTAGGAGGTCAGATGTGAGTCCCATTTTGCTCTATTAAAAATAACTGCGGGAGCGCCAGATATAACAAGTGTCTGATAAATTATAATTAAGCATGGGTTTTATCTCCAATAACATGACTAAGATATTTATATGAAGGACTTGGGATTTTTCCTTAGGAAGAAAATAAGTTTGAAGATGGACAGTGTGGGAGGGGGAATGGTTGATCAATGCACTCCTTCTTTAGTTTGATGGTGTTGTTTTAAACAGAGAAAAAAACACAAGAAACATTTTCAAGCAGGATGCTGTCTGTGACTGACGTATCAGTCCTCCCTAATTTAATTGCAGCTGAGTCATCAATACTTTAATTTCTTAAAGGCTGATGATTACAGTCACCTAATCTATTTATTTTAATTAAGCTCTTCTTGCTTCCCACATGATCTGTGGTGACTCACCACAGAAACATGTATTTGTAAACACAGGGAGGGCAGATTAAAACCAAGAGATCAGAAACTATAGAACACAAGCAGATTTTGTTTGTGTGACCAAAAAATATTATGAAATATTTATATGAATAAAAATCATGATCAGGAAAAGTGATGGATTAGGTCTTATATATATGACAGTTTTCATGACTCAGGTTCAAATATGATTCTAAGTTGTATGAAAAACGTGCTCATTCTTGTGGTGACTTTAGAACAGTATCTCTGACGTGGTGACTTTAGAACAGTATCTCAACACTTGGATAGCAAATATGTCAGTAGGTTTTATGCAAAAGCAGCTTATATTTATTTTGTTATAAAAGTTAACATGTTTCCAGGTCTCAGCTGTTTTAAGGTTCAGTTACTCAATTATGCACTTCTAATGCAGTGATAGTGTACTCTGCATGGGCTTTTATGGGTAATCGCAAATATATGCAAATTATTTGGTTCTGGGTTCAGGCACAATGCTAATATTGTGCCAACAATAGGTGCCAACCCAAACATTTAAAAAAAAAAACAATTACATTACAGAGGAAAGGAGCTAGACATATGAAACTAATATTTTAGACAGTGACAGATCTCAAAAGTAGGACATAGATGAATGAAGTTTATATTACCCATGTCATGTTTATTGCTTTTGTAGAAATAAATGTCGTACCTTTTGTTTGGTGCTTTCCTGCTCTTCTGTTACATTACTGTGAAAGGCTTAAGATTGCATTTTGATTAATGTCTGTAACTTTCCAGCAGGGAGAGTTTTGCATATTAAAATGTCCACTGTGAATTATACCTTCAAGAAAATAGGTTGCTTTTTATGACCACAGAATGCTCAAAATAAAATGAGAATTATGGTGGTTAGGTTCAGAGAGCACTGGTGTTTAGTATTTGCCTTTCCTTCCTTGAGATCTTTCTCAATGTGCCCTCCCATCAGCCCTGGGCTAATTTACCCAGATTCATTTGCCCAGGACGTGCTGACCCTGGAACTGGAAGTACTCTGACTCGATCACTACATCTTAAATAAATGAAGAGAACAGTTACAGACGCAATGTCTAAGATTTGTGGTCAAGAAGCTAAATTTACAGAAAAAGTATTAAGAAGCACAAGTTGGTAGTTACAAAAGAGTCATAGGGATGTCAAAGACAGCTTAGAGAATATAGTCAATAGTGTTGTAATAACTATGTATGGTGTCAGGTGGGTACTGGAAATACTGGAGGAATCTATAAAGTGTATAGTTGCCTAACCACCATGCTATATAAGCTATACAAAATAATACTGAATGCAAACTGTAATTGAAAAATAAAATTTAGCTCAGTTGGTGTGGCTTGGTGGTTCGATTCTTGGTCAGGGCACATGCCCGGTATGGGGCATGCAGGAGGCAGCCAATCCATAATCATTCTCTCTCATCGATGTTTCTCTTGATCTCTCTCCCTTCCTCTCTCTCCAAAAATCAATAAAAACATTTAAAATAAAATAAAATTTTTATAAAAGTAGAAAAACACAGTACTAAAACAAATTTTTTTCCAAATTAAGTATTGATGTAACAAAACTAGATATTCTTTTGATTTGGATGTAGCCATGAAGTCTTGGGAGACACTTCCATTCATGTAAGACAGACAAATTCGCCCCTGAAGAACAGTACAGAAAAGAGGAAATGTGGAGCAGAAGGGAAAGCCAAATGGTGGTGATGCTTGCCCTACATTAATGGATAGAGCAGGCTCCCCGAGGTCCCGCCAGAGTTGCAGGTCAGTTACCAGCAGCCAGGTATTAAGCCTGAGACATGAGTGAAATATCACCCTATTCTTTGGTTTCTCTTCCTGCCTCCTGGGTCTGGGTGTGTGGGAGAAAGATATGTGTGGTATGGGACAAAGCACAGCATGGGGAAACAAGAAGAAAATTTTACTTCTTATTTCTGAGCCATAGTTTTGTCAGGTAAACTTGTTCTTTGGGGTTTTCAATGATGGAACAAAGAAGAGCCGCTATATGCAGCGTGGCCCTCAAGGCTGAGCTAACGGTGGGGATGGGACATATAACGGGAAGGCTCAAGAGGGGGACCAGGTGTTTCTCTTCCAGCTCTCATTACCCTGAAGAATCTAAGTGGTGATAAAACGCAAGTACACAAACATCATTTCTACAGCAGGGAAGAAAAGCAAAAGTCGACAGCCCAGATCCTATAGCTTTTCAGATATAATAAACCCACTGGATTGTGAAAGCACCTGGAATAAAACTTCTCCTTCACCCACTCACGTGTGACTTTAAAACTTAAAACAATCAAACGGTTAATGAATGTCCCTTTCCCTAAAGTGTTCAATTCCTCAGCAGCTCCTGAGTAACTCTTTTGAAATCATCAATACAATGCAGTGGTTTTCCCTGTCTTCCTCACGTACTCCTGGAAAGGAGAATTCTCATTTGTAATAGCAAGGACCACTTTAATTCTTTATATTTATTCATATCATCTCATCAAGACTTCACAGGTTTCCATGTACTTTCCTTTATCTTCAAACCATCCATATAAAATAAATGACATGTCCAATTTTCAGGTGTAGAAACTAAGGCACAGTTTGATTTTCAAATTCTTTGTCCTGATACTTATAAACTAAAAGAAACATGTACACTAAGTAGAAAGAGGACTCTTATCATTTCCAATCCCATCCCCTTCTCTAAGTTGTTGATGTAAATAATACACAAAATTTCAGTAAAATAATGAATGCCATTTTCTTGCCAACCTCTAAAATGAAAGTACTTAATTTTAAATTGCTTCTGTATGGGAGGTAAATTTTTTCCTCTATCTTTCCAGGCCCTTTTGGCTAATCTAATAATTAATATAAGGCAGATTAATAGGGGGAAAAAAAACAAATTTAATTATGTACGTACAAAAGCGTCACATAGACATAAGAAGCCCAAAGACAGTCGGGCAATTGTGGCTTATAGGACAACCCCAGATGAGCAGAAGGACTTAGGGGTACAGGGCTTCAAAGGGAAGGAAGTCAATTCACAGGAAGATGGGAAGAGCAAATGTTTGGTAAACAAATGTTTGCCATGCCACCCAGAGACAGTCTCTGCTGAGCTCCCTACACCTAATTCACAGGCTTTGTAGTTGTCTCTAGTATTAACCTTCATCAAAGAATTTTTAGGAAGTCAAGGGGGAGATGAAAAGCTTTATCCAAGAGACTTTTGGGCCTTGTCTTCAACCCCAAAATAATCAATACATTTGGAAGAGGTCCTGTTGTTCTGACCCCCTTCACTTCACAGGGTTCCCTCTTACCTTAATAAGTTTTAGGATGCTGGCTTCTACATCACCCTGAAGCCCCACCTTGACCAGACAATAACAAAA